AAGATTTTTCGTTAATTTGATTGTCTAAGAATTACACGTAATGCAGAAGGTTAAGAGGGGGAAGGGCTCAAACCAAAAGGAAAAATAAGGGGCTATTGCTAATATAAAATATAATTCAGAGTTACTATATATTTGTTATATTACAGATAGTTTTATTGTATTTAAGTATCCCACAACCAACAGCAAGTTGTAAAACTAATTGCTTCGCTTTGTGACTTGCTCTTTTTAATCAAAATAGTTGTGTTATTGTATTATATTTTGTTAGTTTTTCTGTTATTAATTTCTAAAGTATATTTTACATTGCTTTACAATTAAGATGATGTAGTTGTTTTATAAATGTTAAATAATTAATTTTAGTGAAAATTACTTGAATAAGTAAAAGAAAATTGTGGTTTTATATAAACAACAACAATTTGTACAAAAGACTTTCAAGACAAGCTTGTAAAGTATTATGGTTATGATTATGATATCCAAGCAAATATTTTCCACAATGTGAAATTTCCTTGTTATTTTTTTTAAAACATTAGGACACGTTTTACAGTACTTTTACAGAGAAGGGAAATTGCAGAGTTTCAAAATTTCAATTGAATTTTCAATTTGCATTTGTTGCTAAAAATAATATCTACAAGATTTTGTTACTTTAAAAAATTATTTAGATGAAAATTTTATGATTTTGTTTTCAAAACTGAATTTCTTTTGTTTTGCTAATGCTTCCTTTTAAAAAGCCTTTTTTCTTTTTGAAGAGGGGGAATCTGTCAGATAAAAAATATATACATAACTCTGAATTATACTTTAAATTAGAAATAGCCCCGTGGCCCGTCCTTCTCTTTTGGGCCCTTCTCCCTCTCTATTCTAAAAGTAATAAAAGTAGTTTATTAGTTAGTAGAACTAAAGTAATAACTTTATCTAATGTAATAAAAGTAATAAGTAAATAAAGTTCTAACAGTAACCTTTTCGAAATTGTGTCACATCTGAAAACTAATTCCGCATTATGCCGTCTTAACCTTCTGCATTGCGTATAGTTCTTAGCCAATGAGATTAACGAAAAATCTTACTATAAATACCCTGGCAATCCAACTACTCACTCTTCTTCTTGGCTACTGTTTGTCTCGCAAATATCTTTGCTTTGTTTTACTGCTAATTACGCCGTGATCTAAAGTATGGTATGCTATATAAAGTTGTGGGATGCATATTGCTCCCCTTATGATGTGTGAAAAGAAATATGTTTCGATAATTAGTTCGTTTTTCAGCAATGAAAATTATGTTCAATTCGGCAGCGTCTGTCTACAAGTCTCTCCTTCGTTATGCATCTTTCAAACTACGGAGCGAAACAACTGTCCGAATCTGTTATAGTTATCGCCCAGTCATCAGGATAATTACAGTTATTGTTATTATTATACACACACACACATGCACATAATTTTATACAGAGTATTTCCGAACTGTTTTTTCAGAAATATGCATGGAAGTCCGAAACAATAATCATATAGGAACATGGGGTCGCATGGGCAACCCCGATATCTAAAGCAAGAACTGCAAGTAGTTCTTGCTCATACCTCTATCCTTAGACCTGTTCCTTATTAATTTCTTCTTCTAGGGTTGCATGAAAATTCTAAAGTATGAAAGCCTTGATGAATCGGACGTTAGACTTAGTGGCACATATCATTGCTGAAAGTGGTGTCCTTGTTGGTACACTTTGCATTCTTCAAAACGTTCGCTGATCGATGCATCGTCATTGAGAAGCTTGTATTGCATCTGAAAGCCGCAACTTCAAACAACTTGCTTTAACTGTTTTTATATCAAACGATTCTCTTGTGTAGACTCGTCTTTCACTGATAAACCTATTACAATCTGTCTTGTATCTGTCCTGTCTTTCGTCTCTCTCTTGGTAAGCCTAAAACGCGTCTAGGCTGCGCATGCGACCCTGTGTTACTGTATGACTATTGCTTGTTATGGGGTTCCAGACTTCCAAGTATCTTTCTAAACAATAGTTCTAAAATACCCTGTGTGTATGTGTGTGTATATATATATATGTAAGAAAAATAAAGAATATATAAAAGATTAAATTAGCAATGTAAATTGCCTTTCTCTATTCTAAAAATAGTAACCCTTTTCTGCATTGCATCATTTCGAGACTAATCTATGTCATATGACTCTTACATAATTCTGATGATGTAAACGGAACTAAAACTCTTAACAGTTAATAATAATTTTACAGCAATATTAACCATTCAATCAGAATGCTTTGAGAACCAAAACTAACACAGTCTGACTTGAGATTTCATCCTAAACATTACGCACTCGCTTTCCACGCTTTGGCCTAGCTATCCGTTGTCTATCTGCTGCTGCTTTCTTGTTACAAAGATATAAAAAATGTAAGCCTTTTGGAACAGGCTGCACACAAGTAGGCACATTAAATGTGCTTCTTTTGTGTAGCCGTAACATGATGCTGAAAATAAAACTGAAGATTTAATCTGCCTTCGCCTCCAATTTCCTAGTCAATATGGATCAACACGTCTATGCAGTCCAAGTTTCTGCTCCTAAATATATTACAACTGCATCCAAATTCCTGCTTCTGAATATATTACACACATATATATATAAAGAGGGAAAGAGAAAAAAAAAGAAACCTATCATAAAACGTAGGAATTTTGCTTAAAAATTCAAACATTTCATGTTCTACCAATATTTTTTTCCTTCTAAAATTTTGGAATAGTTATAACTTACAGAAATATGTGATCATTAACACACAAACGCTTGATCGTTTTAATACTGTACTTGGTGAGAAAACAAGGAAAAGTCATAAGATCACAGGTCCCCCATAAAACCGTTCGTGTATTAATTTCGACAATCCGTAGGCGTTGGCGAAGCTTATCTCCCCCATAAAACTGCGAGATAAATTTAGCTGCGCAAAACTGATATTCTATACTTCAAAAAATAAAAGCAAGCCACAGTGTGCTTAAATAATTACCTTTATGGGGTAAGGCAATTCAATGCGATTGCCTGAGACGAATCTTTCTAATTCGAAGACAAAAGCAGCGGCTATCTCTGGTTATGAATGTTCCACACGTGAGTCTCTATCGCGACCAAAAATCCTGAATTCTTCGAGGAAAGTTTAAAAGTGTAAAATAAAAAAAAATTGAAGTGGCCAGCAGATGACTTCTCGCCAGTTGCATTTCCAAGGAATAGCAAAGGGCTCTAAATAGAGTATCACTTCCTGTTGATCTTTCGTAAATAAAATCTAATTTGTTTAAAACTTTTATGGCTCAATGTTAATTACAAACACCACTCATTTTTCATTGTTCTACTCTCACATAAAATGAAAAATCATTACTATATGTTCTTCATGTACACATCTGTTTTCATGTTTTGATTTCAGTACACCGCATCAATCGTAGTATAACCTCTGATCACGTAATGAGTTACTTAAGAGTCACAAAATTTTTAAAAGCAATATATCTTTGACATTCCCGATAGAGTGTTAAGGGGTGCCATATACGCTCGTTTTTCAGTTTTTCAAAATAAGCCTATCTTTATAATTCTCAATCGAATGTTAATTGTTGCATGTATTTTTTTATATTAACTATATTATTTATATTTGCTAAATTATTTCTTTGGAAGCTTATAGATAATGATAACATCTGGTGGTAGCATTCTTTTATTTGAAACGTGATTCGAAACAAAAATGAAACAAACATAAAATTGAGTATTCAGGCTAATACATTTAATTGCTTCCTAATGATCTTATTCTCATTGAATTAACATAATTTAACATAATTCCAAGAATATATTTAATGCTTATAAAGGCAGTGTGTTGTTGTCAATTACATACCTATTTTAGATACCAAATTTGAGAAGTTTTAGATTATCTCATAATTTTTAAAAATGTCTCTCCAGTAGTAAAGTATCACTTCCGGTTTCTCAGTTTTAGCCAAAATCTGTTCCCACTATTATAAAAGTCTTCAATACAAAACTTTAAAAGTTTTAGATTATATTTTAATATAGTTTTACATTAAAAACTGTTAAACTTCAAGTAAAATACTGCTTTTCGGTTTCCATTAAAGACTTATGGGATTCCTGAAAAGTACTTGTCTAGATTTGTTCAGTTTTGCACAAAATGTAATCAGTTTCTTTGTATTAATGTAGAAAGCTTAACAACGAAAGGTAGAAATTTTCCAAAGTTTTCATATAAAAGCTATCGCGGACAATATATTGCCACATACATATAGGCACGCAGACAGGCAGACATCAGTGAAAAAACAATAAAATCGTGTTTGGGGACCCTAATTCATACTTATGTATTGAATACTCGCCATCGAAATTTTTGACCGAAAACCTTAGCTCCCTTACCTATGTATATAAATTATCGAGAGGTAATAAAAATAGTGAATGCTAATTTTCCCTTTAGTGGGAGCTGTCAAAGTAATGGGGTTTCTTGAGTTAAATTTGTAAACAGTCTTTTATGGACTTCAAAGAAAGTAGAGTTTCGCCACTTCGATTATCCAATTTTACCCAGAATCTAATCAACACTTTATTTGAGTGCAGAAAGCTTAAATATGGAAATTTTGACTTTGAGGAAGTTTATCGTAGACAAAAAAGTCGTCATACACACACAAATACACAGACATCATTCTAAAAATAGTAAACATGTGTTTTGGGGGCCCTCATTTGGGTTTACATTCATTGTTCACTATCACATTTTTGAACCGAAACCGAAGACATTAACCCCCTTACTTAGATTGACGGGGGGGTTATGGAATTTTTCCAGTATTTAGCAAAAAAATATTTTCTGCTCTACTAAAATGCAGACTGAAAATATGATAAGCATTTCTTGAGCACCCTAAAAGACTGTTCAAGTAATCCTTTTCGCAACTACACGTTGCAAAAATAAGTTTTACTATAAATCTTATCAATATTTTTTTATAAATTTTAAATGTATTCTAAGCTTGTATAACAATTTCCAAATCATTAATCGCATTTTGTATCGCATTTTTGAATAGTGTCACAAGTACCGATTAAGGTTCGATCAGACAGCCCGCAACAGAATGAGAGAAAAAGTTACTGGAAGTCTTATTTTTAAAGATAGAAAAGCATCCTATCCTAAGAGGTGAGTTTTCTTCCATTGTTGTCTGGATACCATATTGAAATTTTAAATGTGTTTACAGATTGATTTACAGCAAATTTACTAAAATCTATACCATACGAATCTCGCTAATACCCAAATCATAAAAAGCTATTTGGTTGAAGTTAGTTTCGTATATATTGTTAATTGTTTCAGTTTAGCAAAATAATTAAAAATCACTTAACATGTAGGGTTTCCTTTAGTTAAATTTAATATATTATTCAAATTTCTGTTATCTTTCCTGAACTCGTCAAGTTCCCCTCGCATTTCCTTGCCAGGATGTAAATTTAAAGTTAAGTGAAGTGAGTCTTTAAACGAATGAATTTCCGAGTTGAATCGGAGTGTGTTTTCGCTAGCTAGCGCACGTTTCATTGCTAATCTTGGCCTTATACCTAGTAATACGCTCTTTGACCATTCGGTTTGCTAAATACGCCCCTTCGCCATTCGGATAATTGTGACGCCTGTTAGTTTTGTGGAGTCAACCTAATCTAGCCGTAACCTACCTTGCTAATCCAGCACTATTCTTATTTAGACTTGAATTGATTTATGTTATAACATTTAAGTTCAACCGCAGGTTGTCGGTGTTATTGTAAAGCATGAAGATCGTGCCTTCTGTTCTTAGTTTAAATTAATAAAGGGTTATTTTTCAGCCTTCTTCTGTGCTATTATTACTACACGCGCCTGGGCGAGAATTCTTCAGGTTAATTGAAAGATCTAGTTTAGTTTATGTGGAAAAGAAGAGAAAGATCTTATAAACAGAATTGTATTTTTTTTTTCTTTTTTCTCTTTACTTGTGGTAGAAAAATTTTATGTCTAATCTTTGTCAAGTATAAGTTCTCATACTATATAAATTTAATGACTTTTACATCCTGTGAATATGTTCAAAAGGAGTTCACTTGTCAAATTAATAAACTGCAATAACCTTAATAACCCCGTGGACACCTCTTTAGCATTATTATTACAGATCATTATAACATTTTGCTCCCAGTACATATTATATTTACCTGTTACTTATTATGATTATCTGTTATTTTTGTTACACTAAAACAGGTGTTAAATTTATTTTGTGAATTTCAAATTGTATTGAACCTATACTGTAATCTCTTTGTGTCCTAAATAGTTAATTTTAATAAATACTTTATGCGGGATGTTGTTGGGTACTCTAGATCCTTTGGAAAGGTTCAGTTGCTCATTTCCTCAAAGTTTCTATGTAAACTCTTATAAACTTTGCAATGTTTTAATAGTTAGTATGGGAAGATCTTGCCTGTTGACCCATGGTACTTCGCTAGTAACCTCCCTAACTTTACCTGTTCCTGCTCTTCTACCTGTCTAGCGAAAAAAAAATGGTATTGGGCCTCGATGGACAATTATTGAGCAAAAGGTTATTCAGTACATCAGCGCAGTGTCTAGCGTGAAGCTGAAGTCCGAAGTGAGTGGAATACAAGATCTGTTAGGTGGCCGCAAGCCACGAGGCACGAGTTCCTGGGTCGAAGCCCTATCCCAGACTAAAATTTAATATTTGATGAAGAACATAAAGGTAGCGTTTTAGATATGAGCGATAAGCAATTTTAAGTGAAAATGTTCGTAGGTAGGTAATGGTAGTAATGCCACACAACATATTCAATCAAAATTTGTATATAAATGTTCTTTATCTTATGTTTCAGTTATTTATTTAAAATTCCTTAAAGCAGGGACGCTCATAATATAGTGATATAAATTAGTTTAAACCCAGGAACATATAACTGCAATTACAGAGATAGCAATCTGGTGGAGCAATTATGAATCTGAATCAAACACAGTTTTGAAGAAAATGGTATAAAGGTTAAACAAAAACTATTAAAAGAATGGACCTCTGCATGGTTGGCCAAATATTCAACAAAACGACACTCCAAAAATACAATAAAATAAGTTCCTAAAAAATCAAGAATCACTTTTCAAAATCCCCTCCATCTATACCTTTTTCTAGAAAATTTGTCTTTTTGGAATTTTTTCCAGTCGCAAGAACATAGCTCGTGATGTTAATATTAATTTTCCTTGCCAACATTTTTTTTAACTTTTTATAAATAAATTGCATTGATGCTGGAATTAAACTATTTTTTAGATTTGATTGATAGAATAGTAGATTTAATTTTAATTTTAGCACTGGTAGAACATTGAAACTTTTTATGAATAAATTATATTTATGTTGGAATAAACTATTTTTAGATGTGACAGAAAGTGTTAAAAAGATAAGACTTAAAAGATAAAAATAAAAAATTTAAATTAAAAAAAAATAAAACAGCTTAAAATAAAAAGCTTAAATTTAAGAAAAGGAAACTTTAATATCGTTCAACGTAGTTATACTTAAAATTAATTCAAAATTAAAATCTGAAAAATTTCAGATTTTAAATTACGTCTAAAAGGAGCGTTTTTTAACATTTTGTCTGTTACCTTTATTTGTTAAACATCACGTTCTTCGCACTTAAACCATAAAATTCATTTCAAGAACAATATCGTAAAATAGTTTTAAATTGAGCATATCTTTAGAATTTCCGATACAGAGTCTTGCGCTCTTGCGCGCTGGAGATAAAAATGTTTTTTTTTTTTTTTTTTTTTTTTTTTTTTGTGTGTGTGTGTGTGTGTGTACAACGTTGCCATTGCTCGCTTTGAAACCCTTGAGTTTGTTAATCAAAAATACTTTTAAAGTTTTACAAAATACGAAATCAATAATAAAACAAATTCCAAATTTCAAATTTGGGCTTCCACATGCCCACATTTGCAGTAGGATAGCGTCATTCAAACTTCGATGGCTGTAGGTAGCGTCGTTTTATCACAATGCGAGAATTTTTATAGCTCTAACTAATATCTAGTATTCTTAATGATAATTTCTACCTTCTTTATTAAAGTGTGTCTCATCCCTTTCGTGGCGATTACGTCCGACTCCGCCATAACGTGAAGTGGAAAAAAATTGCTGCTGAAACAGGAGACCAATATGTGGTTTTCGCAGACATCATCAACAAGATTGCTCGGGCAAGCGGAAAGGTGAGTTGCTCTGCTATTTATTTTTGTGAAGGATTTATGATGACTGAAAGTGACGTTTTAATTTGTTCTGTTTTCCTTCCTCAGTGCCTCCAAACCTTGTTTGTTGTGAGCACGAGCTCAATGTTGGTGATGGATCAACGGACGCTTCAGATCAAATATCGGATTCCAGCGGCAGATATTTTTCGGATATCTCTCAGCCCATATATGGATGATCTGGCTGTCTTCCACGTACGATCCGTAAGTATCGAGCTCTCATAATCTGTGTCCCAAAGACACAAAAATTCATAGCTTTTTCTCATTACAAATATAAAAAGTGATTTTTGAGTGCAGCTAGAATTGAATTCTTAAAACTCTGTCAAGAATATTGCTCACAATATTTAAGAGTTTATAGCCTATAATGATTGCTAAAAATATCTTTTTGTTTTGTATGTAGAGTTACAACTGCAAACTATCAATTGATCCATAGATATCGAATAAAATTTACAAAATGCAGTATTTCGGTCTATTCAGCCCATATCTTCCAATCTGAAAAAGTACAAGAAGCAATAATTTTATATTATATTGTACTTCTATCAAACAAGAAAGCATCCATATTATATAACTAATATGTGAAAATAGAACTTTTAGGAGATATTTTGCGGTACCAGACGTTTGGGTTTAGCTGTGCAAGGCCCTTAGGCTTAGTAACAATGATGAAGCCATTTATCATGATGCTCTAAATTCAGCTTTGATTGCAGAATTTCCGAATCCTAATGAATTTAATAAAATTGGTGAGAATTAAAAGAACAAGTGTTCGTAAGAAAAATATTAAATGACTCTCAAAGAAAATATTTTAAAGGAATAAGATCTAAAGCCAAAGTTATTAATTCCGTAAATCTTCTAAATAAGTTTGTAAATTAAAAAAAAAAAAAAAAAAAAAAAAAAAACTTTTTTTTTTTTTATGTCTTGTTCACAAAACTCCTTATATGACATTTATTTTCGAAACCGTTGGTCGACATTTATTTTCGAAACCGTTGGTCGAAATTCCAATTATATAGAACTATAATTTCAAAAATATCGTCATTATTTTAATTGATTTATTAACAGATTCCTCAAGGCAAGTTGAAGATGACTCAAAAATCTCAAATAATAAGTATAATAATAAGTGAAAAACATAGTTAAATTATTATCAGATTCGAAGATTTTTACTAGTAATTATCAAATCTTTCTTTCTAGAGCGAAGCAACGCGGAAGAAAGGAGATTTTCTATTTGAAACGGGTCATGTGATCGAGATCGTGACGAAACTGTTCCTTGTTATTCAAAACGCAACCGGGAAGCCACCCGAGATCAATATCTCCACTGAGTATGGATAAGTTCGGCTTCTTTTTTCTTTTCTTTACAAATTATTATCGAATGACTATATGAGATTATCATTTATTCTATGCTCTCTCTCCCTTTTTTCGGTTATTACTTCCATTAGTTTTTGCATTTGTATTTGATATTATATAGGATGTACAAGATATTCATATTTTAAGCTTAAATTAATCAATATAGAGATTTTCTGTACTAGACACCATATTTTGGTGATTCACAGATTAATTAAGCAGCTGTGTTGATATTTAGATAAGCAGTTAATTAATTTGTCTTGAATTCTAATCAAAGTATTAATGTGATTTAATTTAAAAACTGTGTATTAATTTCACCAGATTTCATATAGATATGGAATTTAAAACCGTATATATTTTGTAATATATTTCTCCATTTATGGCTTTGTTTTATCGTAAAAGTAAAAATTCTTTCTATTTTTAATAAACTTTACTTTATTACCTTTATTATCTATCTGTTCTTATTATATAAAATTTCGGTACTTTTCCGTTTCGCCGGCACAAACGATAAAGTCGCCAATAATGGTACAACTGATGCCAAACGGCATATCTTCGCTGGTAACCTTTTACGCTTCATTTTCAAAACAAGTTGCAAACAAACTTTTCTTATTAGATTGATTGTTTATTTCAATACTGGCATATAATCGCATAGAATGTTTACAAGATAGTTAAATTTTATGCACTAAGACCATTCGCGGTTATTAAGTCAATTAGAATGCAATCACACTGCTCACTCGAAGGCGAAAAATATAAAAAAGGCAAAATCAAGGGTTAAATTCACCAATTCTAACGAGAATGCACTAGCGAAGTGAAGCACTGCGGTTTTACATAATTTCTGAGTAAGCTATTCGTACGAATTGAAATAATTCTCGCATTTCAACTTGTATTCCAAATTAAGATTTCATATGAAATTACTGAGAGAATTTGATTTTTGGAGCGTAGTTTACATGAGATGAGATCACTTCGGGTTACGTGACACGAACCGCCGAACCAGCCATGAAAGCATAGCAAATTCTTAAATTAATGTCTTTTTACAAATTTATTGTCTTTATTTATCGGCTTTTTACAAAATTTTAAACCATATTAAAATGTTTATGCCTTCAAAATAAAAAATTCTTAGAACTAACATATTTTATGAGTATACTGTATGCTGTCGCCAACAAAGTCTGCTTGGCGAGATTTGCGCCGGCGAAACGGAAAAGTACCAAAATTTCTCTTATTTTTTACAGATAGTACCTTACATTTTATTTTAATTTTACGTAAAATTTGCCGAAAAAAATTAGACCAAAAATACATCTTTATTTTTCCCCTTATCAGATTTTTTACTTCTGTGTAAGTTTTCAACGCATTTTATCTAAGAAGCCTTTTACGACCTCTGCGACTTTTAAAAACTGGTGACTGTCACATATTTTATTTACATGCTTTTAAATTTATCGAATTTATCGAACAGTTCTTTAAAGCTAATTAATTTAATAAATTTAATTTAAAATTAATTACTCCAATTTAATAAAGCTAGAACTTTTTTCCTTTTAAATGCATTTATATTATGAATTAACTAAATGTTTTATCTCTTTTCGTTGTCTTATTTTTAAAAAGATCTATCTAAATTTTGCCACTTGTCTTATACATTGCATTTACATTCAGAACAAACCTTACGAAATTAATTTAGGTTTACTCCTTTAATTCATAATGTAAAAGGTCTTATGCGTATGTTTTCCCTGTAAAGAATAAGACAAAAAAGTACCAAAATAAAAACCTTAAATTTGTTTTTATTTGTGGCTGTCAGTAGATGTAACTAATTGCTTCTTTTTTCTTCCTAATGTTTTGATAACAAATATTTTACCTTTAATTAAAATACATGAACTACACGAAATCCAACTTAGAAATACCCGAATTCAATTTAAGAGCAAGAACAAGTGCTAGTATAATCTTTCTTTTTATAACAGATTAGCAACAAATGTTCCTGATTATTGTTGATTGCTGACATCGCATGAGGAAATATTTTATTTCTATACTAATTAGAGTTTTAGATAGTTGTTGTTCTGTACTAAGAAGTTGTAAAACCAAGAATCGACAGCAGTTTTTAGAAGAGTAAAGAAAGTCAAAGGATATTTTTCTCACAATCATACTTACATGAGCCCAAATGATTGAAATATTAAATGTTGGGCCATAATATGCATCAAAAAAGGCGTGCGGCTACCGATCAAGAACTATTTTTCACCAATCATTTTCTAAAATCATTAAATTTATTTTACATATTCATAGTTTTTATTCATCTAAATTCTAATGCACACAATTATAAGCTGATTGCGTTTCTTCTAGTATTTGCGAGAAGGGAATGTTTCTTTCATAAACTGAAGTATACGAAACAACATAATGAAAGGTCTCTTTTGAGATTTAAGGACGTTATTCAGCAACTTTGCTTGAATATAAAATAACGGTGAATAAATCTGGCTTAATTTAAAATAATGTGGACTTCGCTTTTCATATTATAAAACCGTTTAAATGCTTTACACTGAAAATTACCAAACAGGTAGGTAATGTACACCGTGTTCATAAAAGTCTTTACCCGGCCATTATCTTTGCAACCATTGGTTGTTCGCGTATATTTCAAGCTATAAAAATGTTTTAAATGATGCAAAGTTTCATGTTTTCGCGTTTTTAAAATAAAAAACAAAATTCTGTAAAATACAATATGTAACCTTTTACACGTTCCTTCGGTCCCTACTCTTATATCTGGGAAATTTTGTACTCATTATAAAAAAATATCTGATTGGGACAAATATGACTTTCTTGTGCGGCCTATTAAATTATACGCATTTTTTGCTGTATTTCATTTAAATTTATTTTCTCGAATTTCATTACAGATGTATGTCTAATTCGATCAAATTTCTGAATTCGAAGTTCTGACTTCGCGGCAAGGCAAAAATACATAAAAACTATATCTACATTAAAAATTGTAAAATACAGAAACCCTAAAACTTCAAATAGTTAAAAGCAGTTTAAAAAAATATTTTTACAATTAAAATTAAAATTAAAATTATAAGCTAAAACAAGCAATTCTTCTAGCGGGCAGGAAGACAATATTTTCGGTGCACAACATTGAAAGAGTGTTTTTAGTCACACTGGGCAAAAAACACTGAAGTTGGTGCACCATCTGACTTAATTCACTGTTCTACTAAGAGTTTCAAATGTAAACAAATGGTGGCCTCGTTAGGCTTAGCGCCACTTGAACTTTTGAATTGTTAATATTTCTACAACTATTCCATGTGTATTAACTAAAGTCAAAAAACATTAACCAGAACATAAGAACAAAACAATTCAAGCCGATTGCAACCAAAAGGGGGATGCACGGCTACATCTTATAGCAGTCCCATATACAAAACTTCAACGTTGTGAGGCTGCTCGTTTTTGTGTTATGCGAGATACATACGTACGTACAGACTTCACGAAATAATCTCTTCTGAATCCATTTTAAATCCATCTCACAATCCGTTTCCGAAAAAAAGAATCCTTTATTCTGTCTGTAGATACGGGATGTCACGCAAAAACGTCATTCAAGTGGATTCGAGAACAGTCAAAATGTATATATTCGTTGAAATCAGATACCCGAAATTTTCCGCGATTAAAATACATACTTTACTTCGTATAAAGGAGTAATAAAGCATAAATCTGCCTAAGATATTTAATTTCAATGTTTGCTATATTTGATGTTAATTTGAGTTTGAAATAAAGTTAATAAATTACAGTAATTCGAGGTCGATGTTTTTCCCTTAAATAATATTCAAATATATTAACCAACATCGTTATTTATAATTTTGTTACATTTGAATTGTTTGAATTTGTTACATTTATATTGCTGAAAACTTTTTCACACCAATTACTTTAAAATTAAGTTTAAAAATACGTTGTTAATATCCTCATGAAGTTTTATTACTTCAGAATCATAATCTTCTAATAGTAAAAACAATGCATTAAATAAATATTTTAAATTTTTAATGAATGCAAACTTGAGTTGGTACATGCCTTCCAATGTTTTCTAGAATATGAATTTTATGAGATTCTATGAATAAGATCTCCATTTTGAAAGAAAATTGTATTGATCGATATTTTTCATAATAATTTGCATAGAAATACTAGTCATATACTATCTTAAAACCAGAATATTTTTAAGAGAAATATTATATTTTTAATTTCGTGTACATGCAAACATTTGTCTCTTCGATCAGTGTACGCCCCAAATTGTGAGTATCTCGGTCAAATTTTATCATACGGGAGTCAAAGCTTTTATGTTTAATTTTTTATAAAGAGCACAAAATTTTCCTAACTATAAGAAAGAATGTGTTAAAAATTACATTTTATATTTTATAAAAAAATAATGTCTTTTAATTTACAAATATAAGAATATGAATCTTTGCACCATTTAAAACACGTCTGTAGTTAGAATTATACGTCTACGACCAACGGTAGCGAAAATAAAGCCCGGAAAAGCTACTTTCGTTGACATGGTGTATATCAAGGCCGCAAGTGATTATAGTACACTGCATATGAACAAAGAGCATTCAAAATAATTTTTAAAGTTTACTCTGAAAGACTAAGGTTTGAAAACGTATTAGTATTAGGTATTTAGTATTATTAGTTATTTAATCTTACTTAGTATTTTAGAAACTACGTATTAGTTTTAAATTGAACTTAAAAGTAAACAAAAATGACTATGCATTTTAAAAAAACCATTTTTATTTCTTCAGAAATACCTGAAGCTCTTAAGTATTTAAGTTTAAACTATCAAACCTTAAAATATTATTTAATATTCATCCTATATGTTGCATTTGCTAATAACAGTATTTACTATTCATTTCAAATACTTATTTTGCGAGCAGTTATTTATACTACCATTTTTATTTTCACAGATTCGAGGCAAATTTTGGCAAGGAAAACGTCGTCTTAGCATTTAAATGTGCCGGATTACCTGAAGTCCAGCCCGGCCAAGTTAAGATATATAGACGCGGTAATCGCATGGAAGTGGTATTATGAAACGAAACCTTCCTTCTACAACCTGCAATCCAACCAGAGGTTGAACCAGAAATTGGTTGAAAAGAGAGCGTTCGAAACACTTGTTCAGTGAGATCTCTTCAGAATCTGGTACCTGGTTGTGCCGGAATTTCCAACCTTTCTAGTTCTTGAAAAGAACTAGTCTTTTGACAGTCGTGCGGAGAAGTCCTTTGTCACTGGTTAAAGAAATCAAAATGTTCATCACGGCATAGCCTCTGAAAGATTTAATAAAAGTAATTAATAATAATAAGGAGAAACTGCGTGGGCGATTTTACACCACCGTGATTGAATTTAGCAATTTTTAGGAAATAATTAATAATAAAAATATAGAGATTGAATTTTTTGGTGCTCTGAAGTTAAAAGTTAGGTCTGAAGAAAAGAAAAGTTTATTACATATTGTACATAAATTATCCGAGATTTTTAAACAAAGTTTAGCAATTATGAATTGACTGTTGCATGTTAAAGTCTTAAAAACATATACACGTTATATACCTTCCGTTTTATGTCGATTGCAGTACTGTTGTAAGTCGCTTTTACATGGATAAAAGATACAGGTTTTTTGTTTCTTTATTTAAAAAGTAGCAAGGAAACTCAGGCTTATAACTTAATATGAATTTCAAAATATTAATATAGAATGCCCTTCAAATTTTACTCTATGATGATAATGAATTACTAAATTATTAAAGAACAGTCTAGTATGACTTAAATATTTCGTTAATAGCAGATTACTGAAACTGATAGCAAATTAGACTAAAGAATAAAATCTGCAGTAAATATATCATGATTGACATATAGAATCAGTGGCAAAAATGCATTCGTTGACTCCTATTTATTCCATGTATAAAAAACTACTTGAACTGTAAACTGCTAACAAAGTTTAATCAAAACCGATGTTTTCTAAAATCAAATAGCTGAATTCCTTTGTGAACTTTTAATGTACAATATTCAAATGATTTTTTGAAAAGAAATATGGAAAATAGTTTTTATATTTTAAATTTCATCAGACATCAGTGTAGTTTTAATATGTAAATTGCTCTGAAATTAGAATTAAGTTACATTTAAAATATTAGTTATTGAAGTAATAATACTATAATAAATCAAACTATCATTTGCCTTCTTGGCATACTGATAAAATACAATCAGCATATATACTTTCCGTGCTGTCTTGTAAATAGATGTTACGATGGAATATCACTTCGTTTTTGGCTTAAATTTTAACTGAAGACGATAAAAATTTATTTGCAAGTTTTTCGAATTATGTGTGTCAACTTTTTTCTTAATCCTGTTCAAAATTATTAAACAAATTTTGAAACATTTCAAATATTTTTCAAAAATATCTTACATTGAAGTCAAGAAAAATCCCAAACATATATCTCTTTGAATGTTTTAAATATATCAGTTCCCTTAAAAGAGAGTAATATGTTTTCATTAAAAATAACTAATCTTCTGAAGATCTGTACTAGGAGAAAACTTTCAGCTGCATTAAGAATCAAACAAAGCCATAATGAATATAATCTTTAAACTACTGCATGTTTTATGTCTGTAGATGCAGAACATATTAAACAAGTGTTTTGAGGCTCCCTGTATCTTGAAAACAATTACGAACTTTTAAAATATTTTCATAAAAGTTCTTTCTATTCAGAGAAACTGTTTCAGAGGACACGATATATCCTTTTTCCTCCAAAAATACAATGAGAGAGAAAAATGTTTAAACATTTTCTTATATGCCCAACTGCACTTCTTAAATAATGGGGAAATATTGCAAAGGAAAACTTGATTTTTGAAGCTGTATTTAAATGAAAATGTTTCAGATAATCTCACTAGAAATGGAAAACTGGTCTGCAGACAAAATTAATAATTATCTATTAATTCTAATATATAAACTAATAAAATTATTTTACTGAATATAATTCTTCTTTTCTGGACCTTTGTTCAATGAGAGAAATTTCGAGTACCTGTGCTATGTCCATGTAAAAGTGACAAGAAATTCATCGTACAGTAATATATAACATTTTTTGTTCAATAGACTAGCTAAATATCTTTATCAAGTGAAAAGCGACACAAAGAATTATTTACGTAAATTTTGTATAAGTAAAAAAATATATTGCTAGTTTCTAGCCTAAAGTTTCTTCATTTAACTCTCCTTCAAAGATGGCATCATCTATCTTCAAAGAGTAGAAAGGTATTAATACTAAGTATACTCAACTCTATAAAGTAACAATATGCATAAATATATATGTGTACATGTATATATTTATTCATCGTGTAAAGAACGATTTATTCTCACTGCCATGAAGATTGAAAAAAATCAGTTTTAAAGAAGGAGCGATGATAATTTTAGTTAAGATTGAACAATTGGAAAAAGAATGCTTGTGCTGCTGAAGACCTCGCTTGAAAGTACATCATCCTCATTTTCATCTTCGTTTATGCTGTAAAACATTCTTGGAATCAAAAGTGGCACATCAGTCTTCTTCAAAAGACTTCAAATTGTTAACAAACTTGGAGAAACTGCTCAATTATCACATGTTTTGTAAGAACGTCTTAAACTATTTTATTAGAAATATAAAACTAGTTTCTGTTCAGTTTTCCCCTCCTCTGAAAAATTATAATTAAGTGTTAATTTTAAAATGCAGTTGTGTATATTTTTTCTGCTTTAGTATTATGCAGTGTATTTTCTTTTTTCACGATGCCTAATTTAAATGTGAGAAATTAAACAAAGCTGAAATTCTGAAGCTTGTATTAAGATGTACAGAAATTAGGTGAAATTAACATATCCTTATTATTTCACAGTGGATTTTCTCACATGTGTATTTGTGTAAACCATTCTGGGTTAGCCATGTAACGTGAAATATCGCCAAAATAAGTTTAGAATTCTGTATATTGCCTAAATGTGCCAAGTAACTACTTTCCAATTTCAAACCGCATTTTAATTTTATGCATTTAGTTATGCATGATAACCAGTTCTTTATTTTTAATTTGCTTATTATAAACTTAATAAAATTAAGATAATCACTAATCTTGAACATGTTTAAAAAATTTAATTAAAACCTGGATTTAATTACGTTTTATTTTATATATTCTTTCTGACCTGTTAATGAGATTTATTACCTTATCTTCTAAAACTATTTAATGGTAAACTTTAGTTTCCTTTTTCATGCCGGTAAATGTTTAATGTATTTCACTTATATAATAAATTGTATTTCTACATATCCTAAATTTTGTTTTCATGTAAATCATATTTTGTCGTGTTACAATGTTTATTAATAATGAATACTATGATCTAAACTTTATATACAAAATCTGTGAAAGAAGAATATTCATAAATACGATTGTTTCTATGTTATTAATTTATTTTTAATGTTGACTATGATTTCAGATTCTATAAATACACATTTATCTGTTAATTATTGAATATAAACAGCTAAAAGCAAATTTAAGTTTTAAATAAAATTTTATTCTTCATTGAATATTTTACTTATTTTAATATCTTGCAATGGGAAAGGAAATAGGACATCATAAAGCTCGAAATTTAAATGCCCTAATGCAGATATTCACACATAATAACAGAAGTCTAAATGTTCTGAGATTTAGATATATATCAGAAATCTTCACGCTAATCATAATTGTCGGAATTTTACAAACATTTTGATAAGTCTTGCAGTTTACTGAGTATAATTCAACAGTGCTTTTATAATTTAAATTTCATCTGACTACCTAATTTTTTACGTTGTTTTAATGTGTAATAGTGTATTTTAAAAAATTCGTCTTTGACACTGAAACTGTATTTAGGTATTAACTATCTATCTTTCATCTATTTTGAAAAACTATTTTTGTACTCTGCATCAAATATAAAATTCATAGAATTCTGAAACTTTAAAGGAAGTCTGATGTTTATGAACTGTACTGAATCCTAGATATTTACTTTGGCAATTGTTTTTGTAAAAAAACTGTATTCTTATTAAAGATACTATGTGCTTCCTAAAACTGAATACATTCTAAACTTCTTTTTCCCAACTCACTAAGTTTCAACGTATTGCCAACATTAATATTATTAGCAAGAATGAAATATTTACTTTCGAGGCATTAAATATTAATAAAAAAGTATTTCAGCTCAAATCACTAAGAAAGCAGTGTTTTGCAAAATGATGCGCTTCTGTTACATCTGTATGATCTAATTCTGAACTTAAAATTTACTTAAATGAAAGACATATTAAGTAATTAAAATAGCCTCTAAAAGATAAATAGTGTGTCCTCTCAGGGATTGTTTATTATACAATCAATTTTACCTAAATAAAAATGTTTTATGTCTCAAAATATCAAATCAGTGGTTGAAAAATCAGTATGTTAAAAAAGAAATCTGTTAATTATGATAATTTAAAATCCGTTCCTCTTTCCTTAATTATATATATATATATAAAAGTTTATTAATAGGAAATAGAGGTAATTATGACAGTAAAAGGTGTGGATAATTTCAGTGACAAAACTGTGTTTGAATGAGTTGTTCTAAGCTACACTTTTGAGCAAATCTCGATGCATTTATTAATGTTATAGATTTAACTCTTGTAGAATCCTAAATCTAGCAAATTGTTGCCAGCTATTTAAATATTTACCGTAATGTATAGTTTTTGTATATTCATGATTCTCTATACATAATTTCGTTTATAATGCCGGTTTGTCGTAACGTTTTATTTTTCTTCAAAGGAAATGTGGAAAGAGTGAATTACTGGAGCGGCACAAAATATGTTTGATATATACAATCTGATAATTTAATTTCAGAACAATATATATTTTCATTTTTTACCTGTATTTAAAAAAGCAGTAAGATTTTATGTAAGCAATTTTCTTCATAAATTCTGATGAATATGTCAATATTTTGGTAAAGAAATTTCAAAGTATCTACCCTCAGGATTACTCAAAATATAAGATGTTAAGCTGAAATCACAAGTAGTCACATATATTATATGTGTTGTTATATGTCATATGACATCAATTATTTTACTATATGCCACAAATAATTGCCGCCGTATGCCGAAAAGTTTTAGAAGAGTTTAAATTAGAAAGAAAGCAAACTTTAGAAACTTTCTAAAAAATTGCTTCTTTCATTAAGTAAACGAACAGGCAGTTTTCAACTTACATTAAACAGTTTTCAGTGCTTTTATTCTAATTAAAATTAAACACCACTCCTATTTAGCAAAGGAAAATAATCATTGCGTTTGATTTAATACAAATGACCTTACAATACGTAAACTTTGAACCACACTCAGCAGACTTACTAAATGTTTAACACTGATCTACTTATTTCAGACTAATTGTACTATGTATCAATAATTCCCAGATTAAGCATTTGCCTTTCTAAGTTAATAAGATATGTAAACAATAGCTATTTTATTTTTCCACAATCATACCAATATTTAATGGTACTTTTGCATTAACGCACTTATCGGGTGAAAATTAATGGCTTCGCGACATTTTTTAAAACGATTTCCGAACAATAGATATTTAGGGTAAGCTAACAAACATTATCAACATCTGTAAAGACTTTAGTAATTTAAAATACAAATTTTAGTTGTCAATTTGTTAGGATTGTGTGACATTAAAAAAATTTGCATTCATCACAAAATTTTTCTGTAATTTTTTGCGATGCTTTTTCTCCCAAGTACACAGCGATCTGTTTTCGCTTAAAACACTGGAGAACTACAGAGACTCATTTTCTCTTGAAACATCGGAGAATAACATCGCACAAATCTCGACAACTTCAGCTATCTATCAAACGTATCTCCTCGTTGTTCCCTTTAGAGATTTTGCTTTAAAATTCTGCTGAATTTTTACCGAAGTATCTATCATTGCTGACAATTCTCACAAACGCATATTTTAAAACTAAGTTTAAAGCAAAAAACATAACCCGATTTGCTTATAAAACCGTTGGAACTTGGAATGCAGGAAAAAGAAGGCATACGGAAATAGTGACGTTGCTTGATTGAAATGTTGTTGTAAGAATATTTGCCTAAAGAAGTATTATGTACATGTAGTAAAGAACTATTATGTTTTATTTAATATACTGTTTATAATATAGTTTAATTAAATAATCGCAAAGTAAGGCACAATCTTTGTTTGATTCTATGTTTTTTTAATAGAAGAAACAGACGAAATTGCCTTATCTTAGTTTTACTATAAGGGAAATAAAGATTTAGGTGCGGAATGATTAAGCTTTTTTAACTTGAATTCAAAGAAATTATGTATAGTAAAGATAAGTTATTATTTAGAATTTAGTGGAGATTTTTATTCGCAATTAAGTTGAAATTTTCACATAAATCAAAGATATATTCTTAATTTTAACTTATTAAAGGTTTAAAAATGAGGCTCGATGGCGCAGTGACTAGCGCATCGCGCAGCAGCATCACAGGTCCGGGGTTCGATCCCCGGGCTGGACGAGGTCAACTCAGCCTTTCATTCCTTGATTTTCCATCCTTTGGGTCGATAAAATGAGTACAAAGTTCGCTTGGGGACTAAACACTGGGGGTCCTGCGACAAGCTGACAGCTTTTTCAGGGCATATGCTTACGCACCCCGGGGCCCATTGTCAAGAAAGCAGATTTCGGTGCACTGCAGACATTGGCCCGTTAGGGCTGTTACGCCACTGAGTTTAGTTTTAAACATTTTGAGCTTAAAAATAATCAGTAAAATTTGATGCATGTGTGAAAAATTTCCAAGGAAGCATTCCATTCACTATATTGCGCTTTTGAGCCGCAACAAGCAACATTTTATTTCTCATAGAATATTAATTATCATGTTTATTTACTGTGAAAAATTTCCAAGGAAGCATTCCATTCACTATATTGCGCTTTTGAGCCGCAACAAGCAACATTTTATTTCTCATAGAATATTAATTATCATGTTTATTTACTGATGTTAAAGCTTAGTTAATTTAAATTACAAATCCTAAGTTAAATGAAACAATATTGGCATATGGAATAAATGCTAAACTAAAAGTTATCGAATTAAAAAAATAAATAAATAAAATTCCTTATGATACCAATTTAATGAAAGATATGTGCGTTCCGTTGTATAATGCTGTATTACTATTTAGTGCGAAATATTCTTTGTTGAACCGTTAAAGAAAAATTTGTTAATGTGATAATTCTTTGTTTTTCTCAATTACTGCAAAGTATTGAAATAAATACTATCCAAATATACATTATAATTGACTTCTAAAATTACATTATAAGATTTTAATCTCTAATTTTACAATTAATACAATTTGAGGCTTAATTCCAGAAAATCACAGGGAAAATTTACATAAACGCAAAACCAATTGTTTCGTTATAATTATCACAATGCCTTTCCGTATTAATAGATTCATAAAAGAAGATATATATATATATATAAATTTTCTGTTGCAAATCATTTTCTTAAAGACTAGGGATTAATTTGGTCATTCTCCATAATAAATATCTCATAAATATGATTTATTTACGATGATATTTCTTCGGAAAAACACGAGCAGTAAAATTTTAATTTCTTACTCCCTTCTTTTTACATCATGATTATTTCTTCGAAAATAACTGAAATTTTAGCAAAAGAGAATAAATTACACATAATTCTTCCAAATTTTTGGAAGCAAAGGTTAGTGGAGAAAATCAAAAAAATCCTTACTAAACTTTATTTTTTTTTAAATTTCTACAAAGATGTAGATAAGCGTTTCATAGGTTTCCTCATAAACGTCAAGCAATACTTCATTTTAATTTTTTCAATTCGTCCTGTTTGTAATGAATCCAAAATTTAGAATATAAATATTTTTTTTTCAAATTTAAGAATTTTGTCTTCATTTATTTGAGTAGTAAAATGATTTAAACTTGTTTAAATATTTTCATATTGCGAGTATTCTTATTCCTCTTATTATGTACTTTATTGTTTTACTATATTTTCGATCTCTAGTTAAATATACTCTTTTCACATATCCTAAATTGAAAAATAACTGTCCTTTTTGGTGAAAGTTTCAGAATTGTTGACTGAAAAGTTAAAAGTTGCATTATGAGATAAAACTTATTCCAGATATTTATGTATTACATTTTTTAATTTTAAATCATTGGTGAATAATGGAACATCGTTGGACTAGTTTTTTTGTACAGTTCAGTAGTGTGCCGCACCAAATGTACAGTTTATCCTTCTAAGATAAGTAATTTATATGAAGAAGTTTTCATATTAATTTTGTAATAAAAATTTATAATTATCTGATTGTCTTTTGTTTCCTTTTATATCAAGTATAGCTGAAGGCACAAGTGCTTCCTGATATCCTGAATGTCAAATAAAGCCACAACAAACGACAATTATTTAACGTTCTACACGTGCAGAGTTTAGTAACAGTTCCTAAATTTTGTACAAGATTTCGTAAATTTTGGTACCTCAAAGCTGTGCCTTTAAGATTTTTAATGATATTTTCTAGAATACAAGCAGCTATTTAAAGGAAGCTTTTTTATAATGTCTTTTATTTTTTATTTTTAGAAGCAAAATGGGTTACTTTCTAAATTGATATATTCAGTTTCTCTTCCATAATTTACTTTTTTCTGCATTACAGACCCTCAGAATTCAGTGATTTTCTCTCCAAAGACAAGTAATATTAACAAGTATTTTACAGTTTTAGTAACATGAATTTTTTCTCTTGTATGCATTTAAAATAGAATTGCTGATTTATGTAGAATTATGCAGTGCATTTTTATTTTCCCTCTTCATAAACTCTAGAGCTTAAATTTTTAAGCTATTTTCCTGTTTCAAAACCAGAGTGGAATATGGGACACAAAATATTGATCTTTTCGTTCTAAATGGGGAAATCCTCCAGAAGTCGTTCAGAATCCGTTTAAGAATAGGAAATGCCAGAAAATTCCAGCAGAAATGGGTTGCAATATCTACTATCTATTTCAAAATACATGGCGTCAAGGTTATTAGCAACGCAATCGAACAAATCAATTCGGTGATACCCGTTTCCCCAATGACGTTATTATGAAATCCTAAATGCTGCTCATGATTGAAAGGAGAAGCTTGTGATCAAACTGTAATATACATAATGCTCTATCATACTGCTGAAAGAGAATAGATGTTAAACAAATATACTGCAACTGATAGCTTTTGCCAAAGATGTTGACTTTATAATCTCTGTGGGAGACCACTCCTAATTTCAGAGAGATTCCTTAAATCGAATAACAGAAAAAATATTTATTATGTTGAAATTTTAAGAACTAATTTCAATAAAACACCTTTAACAGACTTTTTTCATAAAATTCGAACAATTTTTTCAGATCACTTACCGTATCATGTTAAAATGCCTACCTAAAAAGCCGTATTTATGCAAGATTTGTTTTTCATCCGTATTGTAATTAAGAAGTAAAATTGAAACGGGAAATTTGGAGCAGAATCAGTTCAATAGTTTTAAATCAACCACAAGTCATCAGAAGTCTGTGCATAATAATGCAAGCAAATCTTTCTCACTGAGAAACGTTGAAGCTTGCATAATCTTCAACTTAATTAAGGTTAAAATTCTTTATTCGAATACTTTGTATTCCTTTCTTTATTTTTAAACAAAGAACAGAATACTTTTTCAGAAAGAAAAAACTTTTTAATGCGCATTTTTCAATATAATTCTCGTTATCTTTAAGCTAATCATAACGATTCACAATAAGAAATAATAAAAAAGAAATTTTAGAAATTTTAAATGTTGCTTTGTTGCATTCTAGATATATATGTTAACCATTTGTAAATTACTGAGGTCATTTTTATTCCACTGGAAAAGTACTAACTTTTATTGCATGTTAAATGTTTACAATGAAAATATCTGAAATGCAATAGAATTAAATGCTTTCTATTGTAATAAAAGTAGCCTCAGCGGTTCACCATTTCTTTAATTGATATAAAGGAGCGGTGATTGATTGTTTACAGCGTCAGCTACAGGGTTCAAGGGTGATACAAGGTGAATCGGCTTCTAAACTTGACTTAATCTTAGCAGAGGAAAATTGAAAACCTTTAGATAGTCAAATACACAAAATACAGCTAGACAATCCAGCCTAGAAGAGGCCTACTCTAGGCTGAGTGCAGACTCATGCTCGTATTCTGGGAAGAGAGCAGGCAAAATCAATGAAACCTTCCCTCTGGAACATTCTTTTTACTAGCAGTTAAATTTCTGAAATAATTCACCCTCAGTTATCGTTTTGTGTGCAGTGGCAGAAGGGTGTAATTCAACTACGACACGCACCCATCGGCTGATGCCGAAAGTTAGGACAAAACTGCAAGCTGACAAATCAGCGCTTACTCATATTTTAACAGGTCACGGACATTTTTTTCCTGACTAAGCCAGTTTGGATATAGTGACGCAGATATGTAAATGGATTAGCAACCCGGACAGCTACTTGAATGTCCTTTTTACGTTCTCAAATAACCACTTCCTGATCATTGGACAACTTAGGAATATGTAATACGCAAATGAGTTTTTAACACTTTGTAGAGTCCAGGTGGGTTAACTTCTATCTGTATACTGGAGTAGCAAGAAACTACACAAAAGAAGGATTCAAACCCTTTATTAACTCTTTAAAATTTACAATGCGTCAACTCGACGTTAACAAACTTCGCCTCTACTTGGGCGTTAACTGAAAGTCAGATAAAGTAACTAAAATTTGAAGATATTAACAAGCGGTATAACTTACAGGGCTCAGCGAGGTCCCGTAACTTGACCCCCTTCTACACTAGTGACAGAAAAGTAATGCAATTAAGCCACTTGAACCAGCAATAAGCAAACGTACCTACGGCAGAAGGCGGCAGCTAGAGCCTTAACTCTCCCTTTCTCCTACCGAAACTCGGCTTTTAACTACTTCCTTCAACCTAGAAAATTTGCATTCGTTCACGCGCGCTACAACATTTAACTATTCTGGCACTGAAAATTAGGGGAATGAAGGCTTATAGGAAAGTTTCAAATAAAACTTTAAGTTATTAGTTAAAATAAATATAAATCCCTACAACTTTTTGACTCATTACGTCACGAATTAAAGCTAATTATTCAAAAACAACATAAATCACATATTTATTTTATGATACATATTGCTACACTTTTAATTATCTCGTATATAAAGACCCCTGTATTGTTTTTTGGATATACTGTTGTCGATTTTAGCAATATTTTAAATGACACCTACTTTAATTAAGACACAATAACACGCCGAATAAATACTAATTCAGAAGTCAAACAACAAAAATCAGCGTTATATTCACAAAATTTTCACAGTAAAAGTCACAGTCACTGTGAAAATTTTGTGAATATAACGCTGATTTTTGTTGTTTGACTTCTGAATTAGACACCTACTTTGTTATCTGCAGCACTACAACTGATTTAATATAACAGCTCGTAAAATTAAATCCTGACCATTATTTAATACCTTGAAACTCGGATTTCAAGATAAATGTATGACTATGAAAAGGAAATATCAAATCTAACAAAATTACGAGCATCAAAAGTTTGGTCCATCAAAAAAAAAAAAAAAAAAAAAAAAAAAAAACCTTAGATATCGAAACAAGCAACTTAATTTTAGAGATAGCTATTAGTAGGACTTTATGTATTCCGTCTCTGTATTAACTGCGATGCAAATGGGTACATTTCTTTCAAGTTTGATTATTTATGACCAATGCTCTGAGTTTGATGCCATATGAATTTTCTTACATTTTTTATGATTTTCCTCTTTTGCATTTTTTAAGTTTTTAGAGCATTTTGGAAGCATTTTAAGGCATTTTGGGACATTTCAGAGCATTTTGAAGCGGATTCTAGTAATCAAACTGAAAACTAAAGTTACCTTTGAAATAACTCCTCTGGGCTTATTTTTGCTAGACAGGCATGTCTTGTCGACAGAATATGTAATCTGTTAGTCGTAGCAATCACGACAGGCATTTTCGACAGCATGTCTCTTCTAAGACGTTTTCCATAGCGGCATTACTAAGCTGTTTAGGACTCTTTGTGCATGTTCAATTAGATAGGTTTGCATGCAGAGAGGTAAGAGCTATTTCACAGACATGTTGTTAGAATTACATATTCACAGCTGTGTGTAGTATATTTTTCTACTTCAATAAAAGTCTCCTTTCCTTCCCTTTTTTTTTCGGAACGGGAGAGGTGAGCTGATTAATTCGTCGGTGGTAAGTTGGCGAATGAACTTGGATCTTCTCGTTTTCAAATCGGATTAGGAATGTCATGCATGCAAACGACGTTTGGCTACAGTACATTCTGCAAAACAATTCTTTTGCCTCCAAAATATCACCGAAACGAGACATTTTTAAGAAACCTTTGTACTTGTTGTTAAAATAAAACAAAACGTTTGACTCTCGTACGACAAAAATTAACTGGGATATTTGTTATTAAATTTTAGAATAACATTCAGGAGCTACACGCTAGCTCAAAACGGAATACTTGCATTTTGTGATCAAAAATAAAATATCGTTTAGAAAAAGATTTCTGATATTAAGAAACTAGGTGAAGGGAATTTCTGTACAGATTATTATGAAATATGAAATGAAAATATTGATCTTCAAAATAGAAATCATATTCATAGTATCTTATAGCATTTGTATTCTAGAAAACATTCTCAACATCAGTTTTGACACGTAGCCAAATTGTAATATTATTTACATTAATTAAAAACTAAAAATATTTGTATTTTAATTACTTTTTTGTACGATTTCTAAAGTAACAAAATTCATTAGAACATTAAAAACGTATTTTTAGACTCTGAAAACTTATTAATTACTTACTTTAAAATTCTTTTGGCATACCATATACAAGAAAATTCACTGAATAGCATTTAAGGGGGGGGAATCAATTTCGAATTATTCTAATTAATGTATTAAGCAATTCCTCAATGAGAATTCAAAATGACATCAAACATCGCAAATTTTGAAATTAAATATCTTCATTAATTTTTGCCCCAAGAGATTCAAATTTTTTGTGTTTTGTTTCTATAAAGAATGCAAAATTTTCCAGGCTATAAACATAGAAACTGGAGGAGCATATAAAAAGTGTAGATTTCGTATTATATAAAAATTCATTTCTTTTAAATTTAAAATTAGAAAAACATGAATCTCTGTGTCATTTAAAATATTTTTTATAATTAGAAGTACTATCTAAAGCCTGCGGTTGGCCAGGGTAAGTACTTTTGTGGAAGCAGTGTGCATGCAACAAATGTTCTTAATATTTAGTAACAAAATTCAACTCAAGAACAGTTAATATAATTTGCGCTGCATTTGTTTTATATCTAAAATTTTTTAGATGTTTCAATCAAATTTCTAATTTACATTATTTACAAACAAATGCTGATATAACATTTTATCTAAAATATATGAAAACCGTTTGTTAATCAGTGAAATGTTTTCTGTTTTCCATTTGCTTTGCCTTTATTTTATGAAATTTTAATGTCATATTTGAAATTGCATGCTTCATTTGGCTTGTATAAATGAACCAGTTCTCTTACTGAAGAAAAAGTTCGAACACTATTTAGTCTCCTCCCCCCCCCCCCCCCAATTTGATCATTGAAAACACCTGTTGTTACAAGCCCAAACAAAATCTCACTTGTATAAGATTAAAAACACGTCTGATAGCAAAACTGTCCAATTTTTAACCTTATTCAGATGAACATAAATATTTAGTAATTACCTACTTGATTCAATAATTACCAATAATGCTGCAAATCATTAACTTCCATTAGATGCTCAGCAGGTAGATCTGCTTCAATAAAAAATAGAGTTTATGCCACTCACATAATTTCTTAATTTTAACTTTCCTTTGAAACCTTTCATAAGTCGGAATGGCATACAGCCAAGAAACAATGCTATTAATTAATGCAGTAAAACTCTATGAACATACTCAGATCACACTAAAGCGTTTATCAAAATTTATCAAACATGTCTTAAAACTAAAGTACCAATAAAGGAAAGAATTATATAATAAATACGTCCTTTAGAAATAGCATATTATGATTATAAAATTAGTAACGCAACAACCTTTAGTTTGGCGTAGATCTATGTCAAGATCTCAATCGATTTCGGGGGTAAACATGTACAGGTCCCTATTCGTCAGGACCAAAGAAATCTGTGATTCTTGCACATTTCTTTGCTCCTGATGAAGAGGAAGTTGTACCTGTTTGCCTCTCGAAATCGATTGAGATCTTGCCATAAATCTGCGCCAAACTCAAGGTTGTATGTTACTAATTCCATGTGTCACTTGGCGTGTTTCTCTTCTGTTTTCACATTAAGATTAATTTCAACTTCTATAGTTGAAAAGTAGCATTGGTCACGGTGGGGCGTGGAGGAGTCATATATTCAGTAATGAGATAAGGTCTAAGATATGGTCGAGAGAAAGTGAGGATCACCTATTATATATGTCTTACAATCATTTGAATCTATCAGATCATTGCGTCTGCAGAATCAATACCTGCCTATACTTGGCTATACTATACTTGGTTATACTTGGCTATACTATACTTGGCTTAACAAAATAATTCAAAAGGACTTGCCGTTAGCGAAGCTAACTGCCATACCAATGATCCCGCTTTCGAATCCGGGAGAAGACATGGAGGTTTTGTAAGCGTATAGTATGTGTGTTGCAAGGGCACCCAAAGTACACAGTGAGCCAAAAGTCCTTTTAAATGGTTGGTGGTAGGAGAAGAGAGACCGAACTCGGACCGAAACCTGAGGTGCTGTTTCTCCATGGCAGTCTCTGATATGTATCCATGGGAAGGCGCTGGTGTCAGCAGTTTTATGAGGCTGAGAATGCAACTGAAAATAAAGCAATGAGCAATACACTATTGTGTTATGTGTCATACAACTCTTCGCAGGCAATCAAAATGTTTCGAAAAATTGCTTTAAACCATATGCTGTGCCTAATATACGTGGTTTTGCCACCATTTCATAAAATAAATGCTCAGTCTTACTTGCGATTTTAATCTTTCTCCGTAAAAGTGCAAATCCCCTTCGGATTTCTTTCGTTAACTCTAAAGAGCGAAATCGCGTAAAATAGAAAATCTGTATACAAACTTGATCTTTATTTGTTAATTGCTTACTTTTTCGCAATTAAAACTGTTATATGTTTCTTATACTTTTACGCTCTATCATTTGATGTCTATTAAAAATACTCTGTCAGCAAGCTGGAAAGTAAGACATATAGCTTTTAACAAACTGATTTTCAAATATATGAGATACAGTTTCGGTTTTAATGCGTTTGTTATACGATATACATTTATTTATATAGTATTTATTAAAAATGAACTCGTAACTTAAAACTATTCATGTAGCTCTTCAATATCATAATTTTATGAGTACTTTTAATTAGACAGTGGACCGAAAAGTGCCTCCATATCTAGCCGTATGTTACGCATGCCTATATTACACGAATATTGAATGAACACTGAATTTTTCATACTAAATAGGACTGAATATCTGATGTGATTAATTTTAATAAACATTGGGAATGTTGCTAAAAAAGAAGGGGAATGGAAATAGAAAACTAATTTGGCCTACATAAACGAACCTAATTTGATCATTCAAAACACTTGCTTACAGTTTTTATAGAAGCTGTAGAAGTGGCCATTTGATTATTAAATCTCATTCGATCTTATTCATCCAACGAGTTATTCGAATTCCTTTTAGTTTCAAAACGCACGAATAGATGGCGCTCTATCCTCGCTTACACTTTTCTTTTCACACAGTTTATTGATCACTGTCTAGGTATCAAATCATCACAAAATCCGCCGACTCTTGAGTTCTAAAGCATAACATTAAATCCTCTCCAAGCGGTCAGAATACTCTGCATTAATAAAAATGAAGAAAATCATTATTTATAACTAAATATGGTTTCACCTATGAAGGAAATGCTTAAATTGGTAGAATTATTACTTGCTTTAACTATTGTTAAAGTACTACATTCAGACTAATCACAACCCAAATCTTAAGGTACAGAGGAAAGGATACAGGTATTCATCCGCACTAGAGAACTGCATGATCAGAATTAACCTTCAAGGGATAGCGAAGTCTTGATGTCAGGTAAATATATGTTATTTTAACTAAGAAAACGTATGGTCAATCTTCGTATTAAACAATTTTTCTGACATGTAGTTTGACAGCACACTTTGTTCTTAGCATAATTGATATATGCGTCTTATTACGTGCTCCATAAACCGGTAATGGAAGGAATTAAGTTAATTGAGTTACCTTATACTTTTTTACAAAAAGACTCATTTTGCAAAAAACTTTTAGTCGGAGTTATTGAATATTAAGCAGAATTCTTCTCCACTTTTGCTTTGAAAGGTTAAAAATATTCTTAGAATGTTATTTATGCGCTTTATCAAAAATTTTTATAACATCTTGCTTTATATCATAACATATATTTAGCACTATTTTTCTCATGTCTGAAATGTTTTCGTGAATTGTATTTGTGTAACATAATTAAACTGTGATTTAATTTCTTTTAATAATAAATAGTACAGAATCATATTCCTGTTATACAATGATAAATACTTAAGGAAAGTAATTGCTTTTAATAGTAGAAATAAGCAAAAAAATGAATATGAAGGTAAGTTTTATTATTTTCTCTTTTGAAATATGAACGTTGATGCATTTCTTTTCTTATCAAGCGAAACAAATGTTTCTCACACATTTGCAATATTTTAAAAGCAAATTATGTACTTAATGTGCAATTTGAAGTAATTATCATGTAAACTTTGAAATAATGCTATATTTACGAGAGGTAATAATATATTTTGGTACTTTTCCGTTTCGCCGGCGCAAATCTCGCCAAGCAGACTTTGTTGGCGACAACATACAGTATACACATAAAAAATGTTAATTCTAAGAATTTTTTTTTATTTTGAAGGCATAAACATTTTAATATGGTTTAAAATTTTATAAAAAGCCAATAAATAAAGACAATAAATTTGTAAAAAAGACATTAATTTAAGAATTTACTATGCTTTCATGGTTCAAAATCCTGATTCGCCGGTTCGTATCACGTAGACCCCAAGTGATCTCATCTCACGTAAACTACGCTACTAAAAATCTAATTCGCTCAGTAATTATCTACATTAATTTCAAGTTAAATCTTAATTTGGAATACAAGTTTAAATGCAAGAATTATTTCAGTTCGTACGAATAGCTTACTCAGAAATTATGTAAAACCGCAGTGCTTTACTTCGCTAGTGCATTCTCATTAGAATTGATGAATTTAACACTTGATTTCGCCTTCGGATGAGCGGTGTAATTGCGTTCTAATTGACTTATTACCGTGAATTGTCTTAGGGGATAAAATTTAAATATCGTGTAAAAATTCTATATGCCAGTATTGAAAGAAACAATCTGATAAGAAATGGCTTCAACTTGTTTTGAAACTGAGGCGTAAAAGGTTACCAGCGAAGATATTTCGTCTGGCATCAGTTAAACCATTATTGGCGACTTTATCGTTTGCGCCGGCAAAACGGAAAAGTACCTATATTTTTAATTAATGATATATTTACGAAAGATAATAATATATTTTGAGTTATTTATGACATTTTTAAAAGGCGTTTTAATGATTTTGAAATTAATATGTATTCCCTGAAATAGAGTTTTACCTTTCTAGTTATTGTACCATACAGCACCGACTTCAAATCAACCGCAAAACCTTTTGTTATATGCCAAATGTTTGTAATAGTTTACTTACTACATTGTTAATTTTTTTCTTTCTTATGAAAGATGGCGTTTCTTAAACAACAACAACATTGCACGAAAGTTATATATTAAGTCTTTATTAAAATTAATCATTTTGAAACAAATTTGCTTATGCACTTCCTAAAAATAGTTATTGTAAACTTTTAAAGTCGCTTTTACTCCTAAAAATAACATATTTTATTTCTACTTTGCTCTGTCTCTGATTAATTTTAGGACTTACTCCCTCATTTTTAGTTAATGTTATTACACTTTGGTTTACCATTAGATTTACAGCAGTGCCTCTTTTCATCCGGTTAAGTCCTTTTTCTTTCTAGCAATTAAAACCTGTTTCATGTGTATGTATCTACTATATTATTTTGTAACTGAAAATCTCTATTAATGAAATAAAATCGTTTCTAAAAACACAACTAATAGCATTTTTACTTTATATATTCATTAAAATTGCTATTATTTATCTGAATTTAAAGAAGTCTGCAGCTACAAAATTAAAATATGTATACAAAATTGAAACATACTTAAGTTGTTTTCTTCCTGCTCTCAGACACTTTGAAAAACCGAACAAAACAGTCAGTAAAACAAAGCCAAAATTAGTTTCAGTTTTCTACTTGTAAAAGAATGGGCCTCAAATTTCTAAATATAACAAAGGTTAAGAAAACATAATTAGTTCACACTGAAACGCAACTTCAACCTTTTTTTACAAGTAGAAAATTCGTATAATTTTGTTTGATTATTTCGTTTTCCAGTGTTAAATAGCCTTTCTAAGAATTGACGATAATTTTCCGAACATTTGCTATCTCCATTATAGAAAACAAAAACAAATTAAAACCAGTAAAGAAAATTGGAACACCTGATAATTGCTACAGAACTCAATTCTGTTCAGAAATTTAGATGCAACCCACTGTTTCGGAAATTCCCCGTTAGCTGAATCGTGCATGTTAAATTCTCAATAAAGCTCTGAACCTTTAAAATATAAATGTGTCAGGAAGAAGAAAGATCTTTCTTGTTATTATGGATATTTCTTTTTCGGTATATTCCTTGTTAAATGTGCTACAACTCAAATCATCAGACAGAAATCAGGTTATAGCATACACAAGTTTAAAAGAAAAAAACATTTATATTCATTCCAAATTTCCATTCTTCACCACTTCGACATGACAAAAAAAAATCATTGAGATTGGATTTTGTAGCAGCATAATTGCACAGTAAATCAATAAGCCTTGTGCGCTACTTTAATCACTAATATCAAGGGTCACCAACTACGTGCCGCATATACAAATTATCTGCAGAAGATTTTAATCAAGACAAATTTCTCACATATAGGTTTAAAAGGTATGAGTATTGTTTTAAAGACAAGAAATCCTGAAGAGGACAAAAAAGTGTTTTATTATCAAGAGTAACACTTTTATACGCAAATAGTACTTTTGCTCTAAAATATCTTTTACTAATTAATTATATAAATTATATTTTAATAAAATAATAATCCGCTTGATATAAAGTTTACAAAATGGTGCTTCATAGACAGATCTGCTCAAATTCTTTGAAACAAAAGTAAAATTTCAGACACTATCCCACAGTTTCCTTTTCAGTTTATAAACCAAGTCTCTTAATATTTATTTTTTGACTCTGTCCTCGTATAAGGTCTTGGAAATCACGACTATATTTTTTAATAATTTTAATAAAAATTTCTGTTATATTATTTAGTGTTTCCTTGCAATTGCATGTGTATGCGACAAATAAGTAATCAAGAAATAAAAATCAAAACTTTTTATATACGATTTTTAACGCTATAAATATTCTTATGCTGCTTTCCTCTTAGAACCTTTGAATATATTTGATAGGACAAAGATGAAAGGACAAAGATGAATTCTTTTGCCAGGAGAAGGTCTGTAATGGTTGATAATCAATAAACCGGCATGCAATTGAGGAATCTCTTTTAGCAGTGACCAATCAGAATTGCCTGTCCAGATTGAGATCGCTGGAATAAAAATCATGTATAACTGTTCCTCAGAGGAAAACTAAAAGCCTAGTGATCGTGTTCATTTCTTTGGTACTCAAAATAGATGACATAAAATGTGGATAAGTTTATTTTCTTTACTACAACAAAGAGATTTTGAAATTTATCATACTTATATTCCTTTTTACAGAAGCTGTAAACTGGTTATATCTGATTTTTCACTCTATTTCTTTTTATAAGCTTCAAAACGAATTTAGCTTGAAAAAGAATCCTATCTTTTGCGGTAAAGGAAATGAAAGTAATAATGGATTTTTGTTTCTGTATTTCTAGTAAATAAATATGTATTATTAAGATTATGTCACTATAACAATATTAGCTATGCCTTGAGAACACGAACAGCATGTTGCATGCACCTTTCATATGACAATATACCGTTTGATATGCGTGAAAGACTCAAGCAAATTTAAGGTTGGTCAAATTGGCATAAGAAACCTTTAGACTGGCACTAATTTTATATAAAATTACATCTACCGGAAGAAGATGTATTTATCTAGTCGCTATTGAAATTGCGAGTTTTAAACTTGATATTTCCAAATTTATTTTGTATTGCACTTTTTCATGCTAATTTTAATTAAAGTAGCCTTTTTATTTATTTAATGCTTAATGTATCTACTTAACTGCAAGTTGTATGAATGAAAAGGAATACTGATTGATTAATATCAAGTTCATAAGGTAGAAATCACCTTTACAGTGCGCATTTCAGGAATTAATTTAAGTCTACATTTAAATATCTACTTTTCAAAAGACTGACAAAAGGGTCTGAGATAAGAAGTTTGCACACAACAGAGTAAGGCATGCAAAATTTATATATATGCATTTATGTCTGCACTTCTTTTCCAAACACAGTGCAATTTATCAAATTTTATGTTTAAATGCAACTATGTTCTCTAACATCTACTGTCATTCCCAGTCAATCAATGAAAACTTAATTATAATTCATATCCAGCTTTCTAATTATGATTTTTTATTAATCCTTGGTTTACCTTTTAGAAAGTTCAGCATGCAATAAATTTTAACGTATAAAACGTCTTCTACAATCAGGATCCTAAATACCATTTCTTGTCCTGTCAACATTCTTCCGTTTGGATGATGAAGCTAGGATTGAGAATCAGTGACTAGGTGCTTCTTCGAAGAACTAGATCAAGATGAAAGGCCCTGTGAAAAATAAAACTAGAAAGAAAAGAAAGTTAAAACATAGCATGTAAAAAACAGAAATACGACGGCTGGATATAGCTTATCAACAAATCGAAAGAAAACCAAATTCGATGAAATTTTAACTCCAAATATTATAAAAAGCTAAATTAAAATAGCCGTAAGCAAAACGTGT